ACAACAACATGCTCATCACAACAAGAACATCACAGGACACATTAGTGCTTCTCCTCTCAGATGTCACACAGACCCATGCAAGTGTGTACACCTCTCTGAGCTGATCAGTGCCTAAACAACGGGGTTACCTGCAGGAGAATAATAATCTTACCAGAAAAGCAGACATTGCCAAATGTGCTTGGACCCAGCTAGCACTGACGGTGCTTGTGTCCAAATCAAACATGTTATTTCGTGCAGTGATTAGAAACGTACTTAAGGCACTGTATTGTGTTTTTAATGTTGAACTCTTTTTACATCTCAACTTAATATTGATGATAGCTGCTTTCTAAAATGTATCAAACACACTAGGGATGGGAATTTGAAGGCACATTTATATTTGAATATTCCATCCCTCAAAAAAACGATTATCCGGTTAACCAAATTGAGGTAGCCTACCAAAGAAAAAAAAAAAATGAATCAGGCCAGCTGTAGAAATTACCCTCTCGGCTGGAACGGAGCTTGCGGGTATACCCAGGTATAGAAGCTGTGTGTCTGTGCTGCGGCTGGGCAGCAGCTGTGTGTCTGTGCTGCGGCTGGGCAGCAGCTGTGTGTCTGTGCTGATAGAGCCACTCAGCCTGGGGAAGGATTAGCAATGAACACAATTTAGTTCATTTATCATTTTTGAAACTGATCAATGTGGTTTGTATCTCCACTTACAGAGCTTTCCTGGAGGCATTGAAGACCAGAGCTGACCGCTGAGCAGGAGACAGATTATCTGTGGAGAGACTTCCTGAACTCAGGGACTGTTGGATCTGCTCCTCTAGAGAACGATCATTCAGTTCATTCAGACAGTGGAACAGGTTGATGCTTCTCTCCGGAGACGGGTTCTTTCTTATCTTCTTCTTGATGTACTCAACTGTTTTCTGGTTGATCTCTGAGCTACTTCCTGTTTCTTTCAGCAGGCCATGTAGGAGTTTCTGATTGGTCTGCAGTGAAAGACCCAGAAGGAAGCGCAGGAACAAGTCCAGGTGTCCGTTTGGACTCTGTAAGGCCTGGTCCACAGCACTCTGATAGAGATGTGTTAGTGTGGGTTTTGGTCTGAACACTTTAAGCAGCCTGGAGGTTGTTGATTCTTCTGCCAGCAGGTTGACTCCAGAGTTGATGAAGGTCAGATGGACATGAAGAGCAGCCAGAAACTCCTGAACGCTCAGATGGATGAAGCAGAACACAGTGTTCTTGTACGTTCCTCTCACCTCTCTAAAGACCTGTGTCAACACTCCTGAGTACACTGAGGCTGCTCTGATATCGATGTCACAGTCTGTCAGGTCGTGATCATAGAAGATCAGGTTGCCTTTCAGCAGCTGCTCAAAGGCCAGTTTTCCCAGAGCCTCCATCATCATCTCCCTGCTCTCTGGACTCCAGTGTGGATCCGTCTCAGCTCCTCCATCATACTTGACGCTCACTTTGGACTGAACCACCAGGAAGTGGATGTACATCTCAGTCAGGGTATTGGGCAGCTCTCCTCCCTCTCTGGTTTTCAACACCCCCTCCAGAACTGAAGCAGAGATCCTGCAGAAGACTGGGATGTGGCACATGATGTGGAGGCTTCGTGAGGTCTTGATGTGGGAGATGATGGTGCCGGCCTGCTCCTGATCTCTGAATCTCTTCCTGAAGTAATCCTCCTTCTGTGGGTCAGTGAACCCTCGGACCTCTGTCACCATGTCCACAAACTCAGTGATCTGATTGGCTGCTGCAGGTCGTGTGGTTATCCAGAGGCGAGCAGAGGGAAGCAGCTTCCCCCTGATGAGGTTTGTCAGCAGCACATCCACTGAGGTGGACTCTGTGACGTCAGTCAGGATGTCATTGTTGTGGAAGTCCAGAGGAAGTCGACACTCATCCAGACCGTCAAAGATGAACACGACCGGGAACTGATCAAACCTGCAGATTCCTGCGTCTCTGGTTTCAGAGAAGAAGTGATGAACAAGTTCCACCAAGCTGTACTTGTTCTCTCTCACCACATTCAGCTCTCTGAAGGTGAATGGAAATATGAACAGTATGTCCCGGTTGGCTTTGCCTTCAGCCCAGTCCAGAGTGAACTTCTGTGTTAAGACTGTTTTCCCAATGCCAGCCACTCCTTTTGTCATCACTGCTCTGATTGGTTTACCTCTTTCACTTGAGCCTTTAAAGAGGTCTTCTTGTCTGATGATTGTTTCTGATCTGTCTGGTTTACTGGATGCTTGTTCGATCTGTCTGACCTCTCTGGTGATGTAGATCTCCGTGTAGATTTCATTTAGAGGTCTTGCATTTTCTAGGATTTTGTCATTTTGTTTCTTCAGGTTGGATTTGAGGTTCCCTTGGCACTGAATAAGAATCTCTGAATGAAGACAAAAAAAAATCACAATTGAGACAATACTACAATTAACATAAAAGATCCATCACAATATTTGTTCCTAACTTTACACATTTCTGAAAGGATAGTAGGATATTTAGGTTGGATCGAAGCTGTATCTCAATCATCTGTAGCTATCCATTAATATTGTTCTTTCTTTCTATTATTTCCCCTCTGGTGAACAATCTGTGGTCCCCAGAGAACCATGGCCCTAAACCTGAGCGACTCTTATTCCTGCTGCTGGAAGACGAGGCTCGACCCTGGCAGATCCCCGGTGCCTGGCTGCAGGATGAGGACCTGGTCTGCCTAATAGGGTTGCTTTGTTTCTAAGTAGCTGATCTAAAAAGTGACCCTGCCAGAAACTATTGACCCTGACCACTGAGCTCTTAGGGGCCATGGGGGTACCTAAACCCTGACACCATGTACAGGTGGTGTTTCTCTGTGTGGTATATCAGGAGGACACATCCAATCCATGTTATCATTGTGATTTACCGGACCTCAGGTTCCCTGTTTGTAACACTATTTTTTAACTAATGACCTACCTGTCGGTTCTGATGAGATTTTTGATAATTTCTCCTCCAGAAGATTCTGATTCATCTCCTTCAAAACATTTTTGGTCACTTTAATAATGTTAATGCAGTAGTTCGGAAACATCTGGTCCACAGTTTGCGTCCGATCTGCATCCTCTAGTCGACTCTTTGGGATTCCTTTGAATCCTAGGACCTTCCCCTGCAGGCGCCACTTGAATTCATCAAAGTCATCATCCCCCAAATGTTCTAAAGTTCTGAAGAGGATCCTTTTCAGTGTCGCCATATTTTCTCCCTGCAGAGATCCAAAAGATACCAACAGAAAATAATTGAATTCAAAATGTGTATTTTTACAATTTAAATTAGAAAACAATCATTTAAAGAGAGCTCTTCTTGGGTTCATGCAACACACGACTTTGTTAGTCTACTCCAGGGGGGGGGGGGGCTCCCTCCTCTCTGTCCTCACTGATCCATAGCAGAGCCTCCACCTTCACACAAACACAACAACATGCTCATCACAACAAGAGCATCACAGGACACATTAGTGCTTCTCCTCTCAGATGTCCCACAGACCCATGCAAGTGTGTACACCTCTCTGAGCTGATCAGTGCCTAAACAACGGCTGAACTGGGCTAAAGGCTGAGAGCTGAACTGGGCTAAAGGCTGAGAGCTGAACTGGGCTAAAGGCTGAGAGCTGAACTGGGCTAAAGGCTGAGAGCTGAACTGGGCTAAAGGCTGAGAGCTGAACTGGGCTAAAGGCTCCTCAGTGAAACCAGGTGAGTGTCAGTAATGGAGGATGGCCCTCTGAGCCCTTCACAATGCATCCATGCACTTCAGAGTATTAAGAGTTAAACATAAAAACCCCTGAGTCACGAGTTGTAGAGCGGTTCTGACACGCCCTGCATTTTCTCTGATGACGTGAACTCACTATCAATCAGACTGCAGCTCATTCACCACAAGCACTGACATGTACATGGAAATTGTATAAAACTTCCCCACTTCCACTACTTAGACTATTCCTTGCACCCCCCTAGCAGAAGCCCAAATGGTCCCAACCATATTGCATCATTAACGTGCACTTGTTGTTACAGCAGGATCGCAAGGACACTGGTAGCGATAGGAGGGTGTTGCACAGTTTGTGTGTTATGTTTATTTAGGATCCCCATTAGCTCTTGCTCTTGACAAAAGCTACTCTTCCTGGGGTCCGACACTTAAAACAATACAACAACAATACAACAACATTCAAGACATAAGTCCTGACATCATTAACAACAATAACAACATCTCCAACATCATCAACAATCTCATCCACTTCCAACATCAAACTCAGCCAAGGATGAGTGCACAAGACACCCACCAGCACAAAGCATGAGATATCATTCGATAAGGGGTACATGGTCATTAGTAGATGGCACTTCAATCTCTTCTTGAAAGAGGCTCAGGACTCTATTTCAGCAAAGTAGTTTGGCAATGAGTTCCTTTATAGCTCTATAAGTCACAGAAGGTTTCAGAAGATGTGTCCTGGGTTTAGGTGCCAGCAGATGGCCTGATGTAGCTTGTCTAGTCTTATGGTCATGCTCGTCTCTTTCTCTTATTTGATTGTGGACATGCGTGTGCGTCCATGATAATGTAAGTGTATATATTATTCCCTAGTTCAAGTATTGGTGGGTCTACGTTCATAATACAAAGCTTGCTATGCAGTGGCGTTTCTATATGTGTAACGGAGTTAAAATGTGTATAAATAATTATTAGTTTATAAAGGATGATTTACAATAGGTTGTGAATGTTATCTTTATGACATTGTTTCCTTTAATATTTTTGAGTAATGTTTCCAGTGGGAACACTTTCCCTTGCACATCTTTATCTACTTCCTGAATGCCATCCTGCTCTCCCCTCACACTGAAGTGAGCACTGCTGAGGGTGAGCTGTGCTAGGAATTGTTTAACAGTTTATTACAATTTTGTGTGATAAACCGGCTATTTAAGTTGGTTGAAGGGATGTATGTTGCTAAGTGTCAATTTGGGTACATTATTAACCTGTTTTTGTTAAGTTTCCACCATAAGAAATAGCATTTTGGATGATATTTCTGGTGTGTTTTTGGCGCGATATAGACGCGGTCTGCACCATTTTGTTTGTTTACATGGCAACAGTTTCAGACTTTTCTTTCTTTTCTTTTTGTAAAGATGTGGAATGCGGATGTAAAGGACATTTTGTGTTTGTTCTCAGGTTTGTTTGTGTTTGTATTTTGTGTGATTATTTAAAATAAGATTTTCTTGGTCATTTCATAATTTCTCTAATTGTATAAATAAGCTAGTATGGATATATATATATATATATATATATATATATATATATATATATATATATATATATATATACATACTAGAGGCACTGAAGTGAGCACTGCTGAGGATGTGCATCGCGGATGTTCAGGACATTTTGTGTTTGTTCTCAGATTAAATGCCAGAAAACACACTCCGATGCTTTACTGTTTCCTGATCGATAACGAGTCACTTACGGCTTTGACCCGTTACATCTGTACAAAAGTGGTGGCGCACAAACAACTTGGATGTTTATATATAAAATATATGACATAAAATGAACTTACCAAAGCTGCAGTAGATGGTCAACTTCATTCATTTTCTTTCCGTTTTACTGATTTTAATCGCTATACGCTGCTCTCTCTCGTCTCCTCTTCAAAACTACACTTTTCGCGGCACACATACATACAGCCAATCAGCTCTCTGAATTATGAGATGACGTTTTAGTGGGGTTGCCAGCACTTTGCCCCGCTTGTGATTATTTTTTTGCCGCACACATTGAATACAGAAAGACTCTGAGCATGCGCAGGGTAGTTTTTACAGTACACATTCATTCCTACAGCAGAGAGAGGGGCTTGCCCCACATCGCTCAACACGGCTCAATAGACACACTGTGGCGCATAAAAAAAGGAAATGCATTGTTTTATCAGAAGGGAAGCAATGTGGCCATAAAACAGCTGGTAAAAACACCACAAACCTGACCAGATACTCTGCAAAGCTGCATTCTTAATCATTCAACCTGTGTTTTTCATCAAATAAGGACAAGATATAATCTTATTGTGAAATAAGTTTGACTAAAATGACAAATTATTGGTTTTGGCTAGCCTAGACTAGTTTGACTGAAATGTTCTATATAATCTGATGACTAAAAAAGACTCAAATGTCAACAGTTTTCATTGACAAAAAGTAGACTAAAATTGTTAGTTTTCTTTGACTAAAATAAGACTAAAATGCTCAAGACTTTTAGTCGACTAAAACTTGACTAAATAAAAACAGGATGAAGGTGACTAAATATGACTAAAACTAACAAGGACATTTGATACAGGACTAAGACCAAGACTCAATAAAAGAATAGCTGACCAAATTAACACTAGTTCCTGGTTGGGTCTCGCATGGCAAATTGGTCTCAGGCAAGGGGCCAGACTAAGATTGGTTCAAAGAGGTGGAGCGTTACCAGTTGGATCTGGTGGAGCGTTACCAGTTGGATCTGGTGGAGCGTTACCTGTTGGATCTGGTGGAGTGTTACCAGTTGGATCTGGTGGAGCGTTACCAGTTGGATCTGGTGGAGCGTTACCTGTTGGATCTGGTGGAGCTCACCTCTATGCACAGAGGCTCTGGAACCTTACTTCTTGATAGGGGTTAAACGATAATATTGTCGGCACCGTTGTAAGACCATTTTAGACCACTGACATAATTATAATATATAATAATAATAATTCAAGTACATCCTTTCAAACAGAACTTTGTATTGAACATTCAACATTGCAAATGAAATGCGAAATAATATTTAAATATATAAATTATATAATAAATGATAACAAATACATTTAAAAAATCACACACAACCAAAACAATAAATTAAATAGACTCAGGCTGGAAAACAGAGCTCTCTTGTGGCCAAAACACGCAATTGCATTTGTGAAACAACAGTATATATTTATTTATATATATATATATATATATATATATATAAATAAATATATATAAATAAATGTGAGCACACATTGTCTCAAAAGCAAAACAAATCCTTAAAACAACAGTCAAGTGTACAGTCCACTGTCCATACAAAGATCCAGATGGGTTAGTGTATGTTTTGGTCATTGGATTTTCTTTTCACAAATGGATATTCAAAAACAAAAAACGACTGGATATTTAATTTTCGTTTTAAAATTGAAAAAATGTAATTGAAATACAAGGCGTTTTTCTTAATCATGGTCAAAAAGGTATTTACTAAACTTAAAAAACGGGATGATTTTCATGTTCTACCTCTCAAAACAAAAAATTAAATTAAAACAGTGTGGTGATTGACATTATCCACCCACAGATCTAGGGGTTGGGGTATTGTTCCGCACGGACATTTGAGTGAGGCGGACTTTCTGTTTCCGCCGGTATTCTTCTCCTCGTGCATGTTGTTGTTGACATGAAGTTCAGATGCAAAATAAAAGTCTAGCTTGTTCATTTAATACCCCGCCTCCGACTCCCGTCTCTCGGCACCACATTGGTGACCCCGACGAAAGTCTCGTTGAAGGATCCGAGACTGTTCAGAACATGGCAAATAACGCCGTTTTTTTCAAACTGCCGGAGTTTTGGGAGACAGCTGCGGCTGCATGGTTCGCTCAGGCGGAGGCTCAGTTCGCCCTCCGCGGAGTTGCTGATGACGCAGCGCGCTATTTTCACGTCGTTTCGGCGCTGGGGAGCTCCACTGCGACCCGGACGGTGGGTTTTATCACATCTCCCCCTGCCCAGGATAAATATGCAGCGTTCAAGGCTTTCCTGCTGAAGACGTTCGAGCTGTCACGGTCGGAGCGGGCCCGACGCCTGCTCGCTATTCATGGCCTGGGGGACAACAAGCCTTCAGATCATATGGAGATGATGCTCAGCCTGCTGGGTACGGAGGAGCCTAATTTTTTGTTTATTGAACTGTTTCTTCGGCACATGCCGCCGCATGTGCAGACAGCGCTCGCTAATACGGCTATTACCGAGCCCCGCGCTTTGGCCGAAGAGGCTGACCGGTTCTTCCTGGCAACCCAGCGTTTTACCCCTGAGGTGCTGGCCCCGACACACAGCGGCGCCTTCCCGGGTACAGGCATGCCACCTAGCAAGGGCTCCAGGGCCGACGTCAGCGACTCCAGCCCTGGCCTGTGTTATTACCATGCACGCTACGGGGCGAAAGCGAAGATGTGCCGCCCCCCTGCACCTACAAGGTAACGGGAAACGCCAAGGCCTGCGCTCGGTAGTGGCCGCGAGCGTGGGC